CCACTACCATACCGGATGGACCTACTATCTCAGGACAACGGCAAGATACTGCATCCACAATTCAATACCCTGCACCTTCACGCATGGCTTCTCTCTGGTTCTCGGAGGTAGAAGAGCGCTGCTCCCAGCGAGTAAAAGACATCCTCCTCCATAGCAGGAGACAGTCTACTCGGAAAACTTATCAACAGAAATGGACACGTTTCTGTCATTGGTGTCAGCGAGCCAAGGTGGAACCCTGTGCCTCACTACTAAATACCATCCTGGATTACACTCTGGAGCTTAAGGCATCAGGACTGTCAATCTCCTCTTTAAGAGTACACCTCGCTGCAATAGCAGCATTTCATACCTCAGTACACGGCTTCTCTATTTTTAACCATCCTATTACGAAGAGATTCCTCAAGGGAGAGTACACCTCTCTGCAATAGCAGCATTTCATACCTCAGTAGACAGCTTCTCCATTTTTAACCATCCTATACGAAGAGATCCCTCAAGGGACTCCAGAATGTGTACCCACCACATAAGGCCCCACCCCCTTTGTGGGACCTAAATCTTGTTTTGAACTGCCTCACCAGACCTCCCTTTGAGCCACTGGCAACAGTACCACTTCCTTTCCTTTTTATGAAAGTCTGTTTCTTCTTAGCCAGCACCTCCGTCAGGAGGGTGAGCGAACTCGGAGCATTAATGTCAGAACCTCCTTACACAGTTTTCACAAAGGATAGGGTCATACTTAGACCCCACCCCATGTTTTTGCCAAAGGTCTGTACAGAATTCCATCTCAACGAACCGATCATATTACCTACCTTTTTCCCAAAACCGCATTCTTCGCAGACAGACGCCAGCCTGCAAACTCTCGACATCCGGAGGGCTCTGGCCTTCTTCCTAGAAAGAACAAAACCATTTCATAAATATGAAAGACTTTTTATCTCCATTGCTGAATGATCCAAAGGGACACCAATATCATCGCAACGAATCTCAAAGTGGATATCGACATGTATAATCAAATGCCACTCTCTGGGCAATAGACCGCTACAACGCCCACCACGAGCCATTCTACTCGAGCCACGGCTGCTTCTACAGCCTTTCTGGGCAATGTCCCCTTAAGAGACATTTACCGGGCAGCAACATGGTCTTCAGACCATACTTTTGCTAAACATTACGCTATCCTTTCACAGCTCAAGAGTGATTCAGCGGTTGCCACAGCAGTACTCTCTACCACTGCTAAACAATGACTCTGGCTCCCTCCAGCCTTACATTGAATACTGCTTTGTAGTCACCTACAGTGGAGCACCCACGGGGACACTACTCGAAGAAGAAAAGGGAGTTACTCACTTCGTGCAGTAACGAGTGTTCTTCGAGAGGTGTGTCCCCAGGGGTGCTCCACGACCCTCCCTACCTCCTCTCTGCTCGGAGTCAAAATTCTCGGGCAGAGGCGAGGAACTGAAAGGGAGGGGGTTGAGTCACGCTCCTCAGGAGGCGGGAAGGGCTCGAGACGCCTCCTGGTCATGCGTGGCTCAACAGGGGAAACTGCTATACAAAGTTCTGATCTGCGGGCTCAGGGCAACCCTTCACCTACAGTGGAGCACCCACGGGGACACACATCTCGAAGAACACTCGTTACTGCACGAGGTGAGTAACTCCCTTCTTCCCCACCCTCACCACCTCTATCAGGCAGAGGCACGGGAGGGAGCAGACTTAAAAGCCAGTTCCTCCTCCCTCCCCCAGCACCGTCTCTGGGGGCGGGTGGTGGTGGAGGCAAAGGAGCAGTGGGGGAAATGGTGCAAGTGGGGCTCTTACTTCATTTAAAAGGCAGACAAGGAGGGACTCAAGCAGTCCCCACTCATGCCAGGTCCTGACTACTGCACCCCGCTCCCCTTCCCTCCACCCCCAGACTGGAGAGATGGTACTGGGCAGGAAGCTGGCTTTTAAGCCGGCTCCCTCCCGCTCCTCTGACTGATATAGGGGTGGCAAGGGCAGGGAAGCAACTAACTGAGTAGTGACTAAACTCCCCAATAAGGCGGCTCTTACTATGTTTAAAAGGCACAGGTACAGTGGGGATAGCGAGCACTCCCCTCGCCTTGACTAATCGAGTAGCCAATGGAAATTCCATCAAGTACTCAATTAGCTGTTTAATTGAAACATCCCTAATATGGACACTTCATAAATTTTCACTAAGAAGCTTCCTCACCAGAGGACCTCACACTTGATATAGCTTCCAATTTTAGTTTTGAAAGCCCAAGCAAGCTGTGAGAACATTCTTTGACACAGTCTGAATAAGAATATTGCTAGGCTTTTTGTACTAAAGACACTTTAATTAAACTCCCATCACAAAAACAATTAGGACAAATTTGCAGTACTTAACTAGTCAATAATTTAGTAGCTGGATCTCATTAATAGACTTCTCCCTGTGACTGTGTTGTTGTAATGATGTGGCATTGCCAGCTGTGTGCTACAAGAATCAATCTGTGATCAATATTTTCCATGAGCTTTTTTTTGTTATCTCCTGGAGCAGAAAAAGAAATATAAATAAATCAGGACTGGGCCTGACCATGGTTTTCATAGTGACTTTATCTGTTGTGGTTACACTCCTGTTTCTGGGAACACTTTGCCAGGTGCTGGAACAGTTCATATAGTGGGGGGATACGGAGAGCAATTGAACTAAGCTGTAAACCCTGTATGTAATGGAAACCATTTCAAGCCAGGGCGTGTGGCCACATCCCCAAAACCCCTAGTTTTAGCATCTGTGCCTTCAACAGCATCATTCTTTGACCCCATTACATTGTTATATTAAGTTGCACCAATCTGAAGGACAAAACAAATATGCTTGGTTCAGCTCCATTTACAGATGAGGAACTTTGAGGCCCAGAAAAATTGAACAAGGTCACAATTGGTCCCCTAGTTGGCACCCTCAGCCAGGTCATAGAGACTGAACTACCCTTAGACATTTAGAAACTTCCAGGTTATGATTGTTGCTTGTCGGTATGCAGTGTGGCTATTAAACTTGCTTTACTGCTGCTGGTTTGTGGATACAAAGGGTTGTTAGTATTCAAGACTGTCAGTATGACACTTGCCTCCCAAAGAAAGGTGGAGTCATCTTTCATTGCTTTGGGCCTCACCCACCACTTCTGCTACATCTTTCACTACCGTTAATTTTACAACTAGGGTTGCCAGATGGTTTAACAAAAAATACCAAACACCCTTCCCCTCAAAAAACAAAACAAAACAAAAACAGGAAAAAATTGTTGGGAGGGGGGAGGAAAAAGGGGAGACCAAAGTTGTTAACCCAAAAAAAAAAAAAAAAGGGAGAGGGGGAGTTAAGCAAAAGTTGTACCACTCCCTCCAGTTTGGGGTCATACACTAACCCCCAATACACCCACCCCTCCCCCTAAGCCAGGCTCCCCAGTCCCTCTGTTATACTTAAACGAAGCACACGAGATCTTTTATAAGGAAAAAGACAGTACGCCGCATTTATTGAGGTACAACAGTTGCATTTGCTTTTCAATCACTCTCACACTCAAACACCATGCATACACAGTCCTTCCAGACAATGTCAGTTACCAGTCCAGAGTCTGTATCATTCTAGTGGACAGCTAGATGGAACATAGAGAGGGAGCAGGGCCTTTGTCGGTCGATCGATCTGATACTCCTCTGGAGTTGGTGGCAAGACGAACCCAAAGTTCCATAGCAAAGCACCCTGCTTTTATAATCCTTTTCTCTGTTGAAGTCTATGGATTGCACTGTCAGCCCGTGACCAGTTACTGTTATCTTGTTGATGTCCCAAAACATCTCCATGAGGCTCATCCTGTCCTGGATTGTTAATCAGTTGTTTTTAGGGATGCCTTTACCTTTAGAGTTGTCAATCTGCCAATCTGATCAATTCTTGACCGTGGGTACGCACCAATGGTTTTTCTGATGCCGATATGTTTCTTTGCAGTCTGTCTTTTACAGTTTGTCTTCACCCCGCATTCTCCCCCTTCTCTCTTGACCATCTGGCTCTAACAATGACCTTCACACCATATCTCATTCATATAAACAGTTTTTCACAGAGTTATAATCAGTGAAGTTTTATATTAAACAAAAAGCAAACAGCATTGTAAATTGCCTTACTAAATTTTGTAATTAAAACAATTCACACTGAAGGCTCAGGCTTTCAACACTCCGCTATTTTTATTAACATAAACACAATATGAGATCCTGTCTCTTTACTTACTAATCTTAATATATATATTATTATCTTACTAAAAGGCTTAATTTAAATGTAATATGTTACCTTACATTGCTACATTCTTAAACATAAAAATACAAATATAAAAAGGATAAAACTTTCAAACTTAACACCCCCATCCCAATGCACTCACCCCTCCCCCAAAGCCAGGAATCCCCAGCGCCAGAAGAAAGGGATGGCTAGATAAGTTAATCTTACTTTTAAAGTTGCTGCTCCTGCTGCCTGGCCTGGCTGCCTCAGCTCACAGTATGTAGAGGGAGGAATCACATGACCACCTCCCGGATCTCTGCTAGTCACGTGGACCAGGGCAGCATGCATTCCAATCCAAACCCAGCCTAGCCCGGTGCTCCCCTAGCATGGCGCCCGGAAAGTGCCCCCTCCTGTTCCCCTTTGCTACCACTCTGCCGTGCTCCTCACTCCCTCACCCCTACCAGATGCGGCAGGGGAAAATTGTCCCCTCTGGGCTTCCATCCGAGAGAAACAGGAAATACCGGACATTTCACGTGTCGGGTATTTTCTGTTTTTTTTTTTTTTTTAACTGGACGGAGCCAGCAAATACTGGACTGTCTGGGTGAATACCAGACACCTGTCAACCCTATTTACAACAATAACATTGTTTTGAGGTATAATAATGTAAAGTTCTTTTTCTCCCCAATTCACTTGTCTGAATCTAAGCAGAGAATTTTGATTTTTTTTAATTCCTATTTTCTAAAGTATACTTCATAATATTACTGTCTGTGCATTTAGAGAATTACAATGTTATATTCCTGTTTTATAGGACAGAGTTCGTCCAGAAAGGGAGGATTTCGGTTACAGGAGCAGGGTTGCTCAACTGTGTTTTGGAAGCTTTTGCTCAAACCTTTCTAAATCAAGGAGTCAAGAAGGTAGGCTTAATTTATTTGTTTCTAAAATTACAATTGAAATCTGTCAATTCTGCGCAGCCCAAATAATCCAGTTTGGGTTTTAAAACCATGAAGCGTTTAAACTTGGCTTCTTCACTCATCAGATTTAAAAAAAAAACCACGAGCATTTTATTTTACTGTAAATAATAGAACAAGAAATGGAATAGAGTTTGAATATGTAATAGTATGTCTCCAAACATATTTTTAAAAGCTATATGGAGCACTGCTAGATCCTTTTTTTCTGCTAACATTTTATTTTATTAGTTAATATATTGTAGTAATAATAATAGCTTGTATTTTATAGCACTTTGGCATCCAATCATCTTACAGTACTTAACAAACATGCATGTATTTCTGGCTGCACTTTTTCCCCCAGTAATGTTGGATGCTTCAGGCAGGTTGATGTATTTTACAATAGCAACAGTCAATCTTCTTGTAATGGTATGGATCAATAATCCTGTCTTTTTGGTAAGAATTATGAATAGAAATAAAAATCGCTCTGGTATCCAGAAGTGTTTCCCAAAGGAATTAATATTCCAACATTGTTGTTTTGAGGGAAGCATGTCATATTGATAATAATACTAACAAAATCTCAGGCAAATTATTCACCCTGAAATTGATAGAACTTCTGCATTTGGTGGGAGGGGGGGACAGAGGGTAGTTGAGGAGCAGGAAATATTGGTCTTCAGCTTGTTCCATATACAATTTTTCATCAGCTAGAAAGGAAAGGGATTGCTTAATTAAGCCTTTTTACTGAAAAATACACATCCTGAGTGTTTTGACAAGTATCTTGCTTTTATGATGTATATAAGTGTGGGTTAGTGACCAGTGGTGCTGCATTTTCATACTACGCTATAAATCTTACATAGCACAACAAATGTAACTGTCCTAAATATACCATTATTTACAGTTTTTCCCTACCAGGAGTAATTTGACTCTTGAAATCTACCTGAGGGACATGCATTGTCAAATGTGTATTGAGTTCACTTCCTAATTAAGGAATAGAAACAAATGATAGACTTTCAGGATGTAGGATTTTTAGAAGTGCTTTTGCATGCTAGCTGGTTCCTCTATTCTCAGAGACTTGAGTTTTGTGTGTTCTTGGCATTATGCCGAGTTTGTTCGAGATGGGTGTTGAACTCTGCAAAAGGTTTGTTGTGTCTCCACTCCAGTTTGTTCCTTTTCATAGGAAGGACATCCACATGCTGTCGAGTGCATGCAGTACAGTGACTCAGAGGTGGCTTTTCTGCTGTTTCCAGTTAATGTCCCCCTTATGTCTCCAATATGTACAGGCAGTCTCCGAGTTACGCGGATCCGACTTATGTCGGATCCGCAATTACGAACGGGGCCCGTCTCCCTGGTCTCCAGCAGACCAGGGAGAGGAAGCAAAGCGGCGGAGCACGCGGGCAACGGACAGCCCAGACACATCTGGGCTGTCCACTGCCCACATACTCCGCCGCTTTGATTCCTCTCCCTGGTCTGCTGGAGACCAGGGAGACGGGCCCCGTTCGTAATTGCGGATCCGACATAAGTCGGATCCGCGTAACTCGGAGACTGCCTGTACATATTGGAGACATAAGGGGGACATTAACTGGAAACAGCAGAAAAGCCACCTCTGAGTCACTGTACTGCATGCACTCGACAGCATGTGGATGTCCTTCCTATGAAAAGGAACAAACTGGAGTGGAGACACAACAAACCTTTTGCAGAGTTCAACACCCATCTCGAACAAACTCGGCATAATGCCAAGAACACACAACTACTGGACCAACCCGGCAGCACCCCAGCTGCTCTGCCCCAGGCGTCCCCAAGTCAGCCGCTGCTGAAACTCACCAGTGGCTGACTACAGGAAGCCCCTGCCCTGGGCTTGCTGATCCTGGAATCAGACGCTGATCAGTTTCAGCAGCAGCTGAATCTGGACTCCAGTTCTGACTTGCATACAGATTCAACTTAAGAACAAACCTACAGTCCCTATCTTGTACGTAACCCGGGGACTGCCTGTACTTGAACAATCTGCTCCTGAATGTGAAGGGGCTGGGATGAGAATGAGCACCTCCAAATTGGAGGTCAGAATCCTCTCTCAGAAGAATATGGACCGTTTCCTGCAGGAGAGGGAGGGGACAGCAGCTGCTCTTAAAGGAAGAGTTTAAGTATCTGGAGTGATGGTAAATGGGAGCGTGAGACTGACCAGCAGGTCAGTGCAGCTGTGGCAGTGATGTGACTGCTGTACCCATCTGGGGTGGTGAAGTGGGAGCTGGGACAAAGCTCTTGGTTACAGGTCAATCTACGTCTCCATCCTCACCTATGGTCATGCACTTTGGGTGATGACCTGAAAGGACAAGATTGTGTTCGCAGGTGGTGGAAAAGAGGTTTCTTTGCATGATGGCTGGGTTTGCTACCTGAGACAGGGTGAGGAGCTCAGCTGTTTTGGAGAGCCTTGAGGTAGGGCTGCTGGGTAGAGAGGAGCCTATTGAGGTGGTTCAAGTACCTGATAAAAAATTAGAGGCTGATTTTGAAAATATGGCTCCAGGTCAAAGTTCTTCTCCTAAGCCGTGCAGCTGCCTGATAAGGGCTCAGGGCTGCCAGCCACAGTAACTACACAATGCTGCCCTGGAATAGTTTTGAGAATTTTGGCTGTGGCTGCAGATCTGTGATAAAAGTTCAAATTAAACAAAAATGACTTGCATGTTTATGTACCTTTTTGCTTCTGTGCTCTTTTTGACAATTCAGTCTCTCCTAGATAACATTTGTCTGGGAATCATCTAAGGCTACGTTTACACTGCAGACTTCTTGCACAAGAACTTTTTGCCAAAGAGTTCTTGCGCACAAAGTTCTTGCGCAAGAGCGCATCCACGCTGCCACGTGCTTTTACACAAGAGTATCCATGGCAGTGTGGACGCTCTCTTGCCCAAGAAAGCTCTGATGGCCATTTTAGCCGTGGGGGTTTCTTGTGCAAGAAACCCCTGTTACCCGTCCACACGTGCCTTTTTGCGCAAGAGCTCTGCGCAAAAAGGCTTATTCCTCATAGAAAGATAAATAATTCTTGCACAAAAAGCCCTGTGTTCTTACAATTTACTGTGCTTTTTCTTACGCAAGGACACGCTTGTAGTGTGGATGCTCCACAAGTTTTTGTGCAAAAACTCTGCAGTGTATAGCCTCAGTGTTAGATTTCTTTAAAGCTTTTGGATGGGACTTTCTATTACAGAGAACTTGGAATGAGGCAGTTCCAATTATACTCTGCTAAAATATGCTCACTTTCAGTGACAGAGATATAATCTTTTAAAGCAACATCAACTTAATAAATGACTACTCTTGGATTCTAAAGGTCCCCATAGCTTTGGGTTTACTGTATTCCCAAAGCCAGCACTGGACAGAGATTAATTCATATATTCATATATCTATTGTTCAGAATTGTCTCTAGTAATGGAATTAATGCTAAAGACAGAAACTTGAGATCATTAATAAGGTCATTTTATCTTTAGTGAATTGCTTTTTTTTCTGCATTAGAGAAGAAATTGTGAAATAATTCATTAAAACCTAATGAATCTTCTTGAGGTGCAGATTTGTATCTGCACTAAACTTGCATCATATAGCCTAAAATATACAAACTTCTTCATTACACCTGGTGGTTTTTAGTACTTGCAATAAATAGAGCTATAATACTGTCAGGATTTTGAAGAATCGATAGAGAACATCTCCCTCCATACTCTCCCCATCCCCTGCCACTTGTCCATTTTAAAATCCTACATTTTTAGTGATTTTAAAATGAGAGAGGTTATTACAATGGGGGGTGGGGTGGAAAGTGGAATTGAGGGACTGGAGAAGAAAGCTTTTAGATGGAACAGGATAAAATCTTGCCTTAATATTTATAGTTATGAATTGCCTACAATCAGGTGTCTGTTTTCCCACACAATCAGTATTCAATATCTCTGAAATTCCTATCGTAATAGAATATAAGGCACTTCTCTATTTATGGAGCACTAGAGAAGGTGATTTGATTTTTTCCCCAGTATATTTCATTATGGAGATATGATCTCAATAACTGTTAAACTGTACTTTAAAAAAAAATTGAATGACTGTGAAAGCTGTGACTCTCACCTCTAGAATTTCTTCTGTGATTTAACTCAAATGCTGACCAAAAATGTATCCTGTGATGGGAAATAAGGTGTGAAATGTTAGAATTATTCCTTTTGTTTTGTAGAAGTTAGGAGTTGGTGCTCAAAAAAGCCTTAAACTGGAAAGTAAACTTTAAGTACAGAGAGATGCTGGAGCTCGTTTTCTGTTGCTCTAACACTCCTTTGATACTCTGACAGTGTAAAGGGGCTCCAAACCAGTTGGAAGTGTATAAAGGTTTCCCTTGCTGGCATAGAACTGACTAGATGGCATAGGTTATCTACTGAGGAGAGCGCAAGTCATTTGAGTTACACTCCTGCTATTTTCAGCTTTCCATGGGTAACCAGAGTGCAAGTTACAGCAGTGTTAATACTGGGGGTGTGTTTTGTCATAAATGTCCGCTATTATGCTAAACCTATGAAAATAGCATCTAATATAGAGGAGAGTATTGCAAGAAGTGACCAGTTAATCAAAAACATCCAGGTTACAGGTCTTTGTACTGGAAGTGGGGATGGATTTTACATTTAGACTTGGATATTTTCCATCAGAATCATGCTTTCTATTTAAGAGAAAATACTCCAACACTCCACTTAATCTCATATTTTATTTAATATGTATACAGTTCAGTAGCTGCATGTGGTACATTACAGGCATGAACTCTGTCCAAGGTAGCTTGGAATTTATAACCTGGGTGAAAATTAAGCTTCCCTGGCATGGCTGTTTGTTTCTATATTTGCCATTCATCAGACTTTCCTGATTTATTTTGTCAGCTGTCCTCTGTTTGTTTTTGTACCTTCTTTGATATCTGATGTCCTGTGTGAGATTTCTGCAATGTTCTATTTAAACTCAAGTGAACATATCACCCCAAAAGTGTTATGTCTGAGTTTTGGAAGTATGCAACTCAGTAAGATCTTGATTCTTTTTCAAACTAAAACAGTAGGATCTAGATATTTTCAAAAAGAGAGAGATTCTTGCAGTTAAAAAAAAAATCTTTACCTTCGGAAAAAATAAAGCTATTCTACAGCTTGTCAATCAAAAAAGCTTTTAAGCTGTATCTCTAAAGGTGGACAGCTTAATGGGTAAGCAATGTTTGTTCTGCATTTCAAGTGCATCATTGCACTGTAAGTAGCGTAAATTTAGCCCCTTTAAGCTTGATCTCCTGGGGCTGAGATTTAAGTGTTTGAACTTTAGTTGAAAGGAATATATTGATTAGTCTTTGATTTAGTCATTCTCTACTGAAAAGTTACTCAGTAATGACTTGTACCTGCCCTTTAGTATTTTTATTCATTTTATAGATTCTCTCCCCACCCCTCAACAATTCTGCTTAAAAGACTGCAATTGTATAAGGAGGAGAAGAGAAAAAAACAGCTGTCACACTGTGAACATAATTGATTCAATAAATAACATTTTTCAATTCCCAAGGCAAACCTCTGAGTCTTCACTTATGTCAATTAGTGCGCTATTCTGTAAAGGGTGGCATGCTTAATTTAGACTGATAGGCTAAGCTAGCCAGTTCTCGTTTCCTATGTAAAGAAGAATCATGGAAGACAAGCTACTATATACATCTCTGAAATGTCAGACTTTTGTTTGTGTAAAGAACTGTTCTTAAACTTTTTATTAAAACTCATATTGCTGTAGATTACTTCCCAGTGACTTGAGCTAAGCAAGCATTTTCTCCACGTGGGCTACTTCTACACTGTAGGCTTCTTGTGCAAGAATTTTTGTGCAAAATTTTCTTGTGCAAGGGCACATCCACACCTCAAAATGCATTGCAAAAGCAGCGTGCTTTTGCACAAGAGAGCATCCACACTGCATGGACGCTCTTGCACAAGAAAGCTCTGATGTCTGTTCACAGAATGGCCATCAGAGCACCTGTGCTTTTTCCCATAGGGGTTTCTTGCACAAGAAACCCCTGCAGAGCATCCACACTTGCCTTTTTGCGCAAGAACTCTTGCACAAAAAGGACTTATGCCTCGTAAAAGGAGGTTTACCTACGCTGGAAAAAGCCCTCTGTCCTGCCGTTTTACTGCCTATTTGCTTGCGCAAAAGCACATTTGAGGTGTGGATGCTTCGCAGGTTTTTGTGCAAAAATGACTGGTTTTGTGCAAAAACCTTGCAGTGTAAACATAGCCTTGTTGAACAGGCTACACAGGGTGAAATCTTGGCCTCATTGAAGACCATGGCAAAACTTCCAGGCTATGTCTAGACTTCCCTCAAAATTTGCATATCCTCTTTCGAAAATAGCACATAGTTTAGACATACCCATTGATTTCAGAGGGGCCAGGATCTGAACATGAAGTAAGCTACAAACATGGACTGGCTGGACGTGCTCCATTAGGATGTACTCCATCTTTAGCACTCTTCCTCCTCAGCACTGCAACAGCCTGAGTTAGTTAGCAAACAGGTGCACTGTTAGCTTTTTATTCCTGTGCCTGGGAGGACATGGATATTGGGGTAGGACTGGTTAGTGGTGATGTGAGGAGTATATAGGGAGACTAACATAGTGTTCTTGTCCCTGACTTGTTTGACTTGAGCTGGTTTTTCTTTGCTTACTTAGCATCTTTCTAAAATATTCAGGGGCTTCCAGAGCATTGGATTAATATAGCTGAGTAAAAATTTGAATTAATCAGTAGAACAGGTTAAGAAGGTATGTTGCTTAAGACTTTTTCTGTCCTGAGTGTTTACCCCCCATTTTAGCAGACAATGAGAACACAATCTGTCTTGCTCTGGTGTAGCCCTTTAGTGCAGACAAGACAAATGTTGCTTGTAATGCTGGTGCTTCCCCCAGTTTCCAACAGTGTTTATCTGATGCTCCTTTTTAAAAAATAACGCCCAAGTGTCATGCAGCATGTTTCATCCATAGAGCTCAAAGTCCTTTATAATGGAGGTAATTTCCTCATTTTACTGATGGAGAAACTGAGGCAGAAGGAAGTGGAATGCCATGTGAAAGTTCACCCAGCTATCCAGTGGAAGAGCTGAGAATAGAACTCAGATGTGCTGAGTCCTAATCCAATTGCCAGGCCACCGTGCTTCCAATTAGAATAGAATGCTGTGAGCACAGTATAATATAAATCCTTCTCCATCTCATCTCCCCATTGCCCCATATTCACACACCAAGCTATATACTGCTGCAGACAAAATTACAATGGAGTTATTGCCATTTTATAATAGGGCAGTAAAGTGTGGGTTTTGTTTCTCCAGTTTTGACCATCATTCAGTTATTTGGATTATTTGAACAAGTAATCTGCTTGCATGTAATAGTGTCTGTTTTAATACTTACAGGTTGTAATTTGTCTGTAATCTTTACAGGGTATTAGAATAATGGAGATGCTGCTGCAGGAACAGTGTGGGTGTCCATTTTCCTGAGGAGGAACAGTAAGTGTGTCATCGATTTAAAGATTCATAATTCAATATCTATACATTCACACATACAAAATGTGTAATGAAACATAGATTTTTTTTTGGTAATTTTATTTATATACATTTCTTAACTAATATATGCTACATGTTTCTATATACAGACTTTAGATAATTTCTCATCCATTTTGAATAGTAGCCAGCACTTACTTCTACTGATTTCAGGAAAAAATAATGAACTGCTGCTTTGTGAGACTTGATAATACAGCAGCGTCCTTAATATCATGTTGATTAAGACTTCTTTTGTGTGCTGTCTTTTTTTCTCCCCTAATTTATTTATCACTAGACCATGAAAGTGATAGTCAGACTTAATAAAACAAGATGTTAGCTTTGTCTAAAGATCATTATTGCTGGCAGAAAAGTAATCTCTTCAAAGATTGTCCATAAAGGCAAGATTTGGCCGACTCTTAAAGTAGCTTCAGAATGAGAACAAATGGCTATTGATTAGCTCCTAATAAATGTTCTTCTAAAAACTGTTCTCTATGCTTTTTACAGGAAGAGCATCATCTTCATTGCCTTCACAGTTTCCAGGGAAGTTATCCAAATTTTATTGGTACCATTTTATTGAGGAAATGGTATTCAATATGCGTAGTTTGGAGAAAAGATGACAATAGACTACAAATCATTCGGGTAAGATTAAGGAAGGATATGCTGTTGAAAGGGGACTCTTATCCCAAGAGGTCCTGGAGAAGCAGATGTAAATGTGGAAATAATGTCTTCATATGGATTTCTGATGTAATTTCCAGAGCCTAAGCATTCACCGAAAAAACCAACATCAGCAAAAAAACATAAATAGCCCTTTTTGCTCTGAAAACATCTATCATGTCAACTCATGCACAGTTGTCTTGAGCCTTTCCAAGAAAGGTATGGATGCCTCCTATTAATTTTAATAGTTTATCTTGAAGCTTAGTTGTTAGGGACAGTGATTCTATTCACAGAATTCACAGAAGCATCAGTGGAAATTTATGCCTTTACAATTCAATGCAATTCTGTCGACTCAGTATCTCTCTGCAGGTATTTGGTATTTCCAATGTGTCTGCAAAAGTGAAAACAAACAAACAAAACATTAAAATTTCCTTTGAAAAGAATTCCCTTCCTTCTGAATGAGAACTAATGCTAAGCTTCCCAGCTGAGCCTGTAGAAACAAGGAAACTGTAGTTTGGAGAGATGTGACTATATCCATTTGGAGTCATCACCCCTCTGAGGAGAAACCTAATGACGGCAATTTTAAGTATCAACTTTGCTAATTATTTCACTGCTGAGACTTTAGCAGAAACGTATAACAAATATGCCTGTTCCAGTTTGGTTGGCTTCATTTGAAAGGTTGTCCCACAGATTAAAAAGTTACAAGTTTTAAAGTGAAAATATTTGATTGTTCCCTAAATGTTTTCTTTTTTTTTGTACTATTAGAGAAGTTTAAGGGATTAGAAGGTTTCTTAGTAAAATTCTTAAAGGAAATGAGAGCTTACCTGGATGAGGAATTAAGTTTGAAAGAGCAATTTTATTTAAAATCCCTTTATTAAAAATACGAGTAATTTGGATACTCTTGCTTTTCTCACTCCACAAAGAGTGCCACTGAAGTCAATGGGTGTCAGGTGGCACTGAGTGCTTACAGTTGAGCAGAACTACCATTGTTTTTACTACTGAGGCATTGGAGAGGAGACATTTCTGCAAATCCACACTACTGTGTACCATGAGAGGGTTTTTAATATCCATATGGAACAGGTTGGGCATCTGCTTTTAAAACCTTATTGGAACAGCTTGGGGAGGGGGAGGTAGACCTAGTACACATTTTTAATGACAAGATCAACTAGTAATAGAATCATTTGATTAAGGAGCTATTGTTCTCTTGCTATTAGTGATGCTTAATAGTCAGTTAAATAAAGTTCTTATAGCAACCGTGCAGGAGGAAAATTTTGTTTAGTGCAAGGAAAATTGGAGTAGGTAATTTTAAGTCCTTTTTAATCCTATAAGATCTAGTTTTATGATCAAAATGGTTAAAGAAACATGAAATAAAATCACATTTATTATCTACAACTGGCATATCAAGGCATGTTTAACCAACTTTTTGGTCATCTGTAAAATGAAATCAAATTTTGGATGCTTTTTTAGTCACAAAGTTCAAGGCACCTCAGAATATAATTGAATGTTCTAGAGTCTGATAACAGATTCAGTAACCTTCTGTAACTTGTGATTGAGCCGAAAAGAAATGTCCTAACCAGGGGTTGCTCCTGTATTTAAAAGTTTTATGAATGATTCCTGGTGGCATATTGTATCATATTATCTAAGTGATATAGAGCTCCAACCCAATAGAGTGTGCAAGAACTTTAGTCCTACTGGAGATATTGGAGTTACTTGCCTCTAATTAAGTGCCTAGAGTTATAGACCTGCTTTCCTGGATCTTAATCTTTATGAAGTAAAGACAAATACAGTATATTTTGAATAGGTCTTTAAAAAAACCTTAAAAATTAAAACCTACACTTCTGAAAAACTAGGCCTTATGTAATTAGTAAATTCAGTATTTTGGTAGATCAGAAATCTGTTCATTATGTTAAAGGTATTACATGGAGCACACTTCTGAGGAAAGGGTAGACCTAAAAAGACAAGCATTTGTAAGTGAGAAAGTGGGTTGATGTAACAGTGATGTTTTCTATACCTCTGCAAACTGATTGTTCTGTTTGATTTCAATTTTTCCAATGGTGTATTTTGAGTTTTTGCATTGTATGAATTCCTCAGCGAGACTGTTCATTTTAATTAGGGCATATTTTGGCTTTGTCCTTAAGTAATTTTGTAGTTTGTGAATGAATAATTCAGATACAGCTGACAAAAAAAAAGGAAAAAAAAAGACTTAAATGATGATTCAGAGTGGATGACTTAGGCGAAAGAGACAGTGTAGTTAAAGACATTTTATGTATCCTGTTATGATCAATGACAGTGATGCATCTGATGAGTTAATCTGTGGGGATGACAGCTCTGCTTTTTCCCCTGCCAACACTGTTTATCCTCTAACATTCGTTTAGAAGTACAGCATTAAATATTTTCTGGAGAGTCAAATAGGGAAGAGTATATAGGATCTGGTAGAAAATCCTTCTTTAACAACCCAAATGACTAGTTGAGGAAAAAAATACCCAAATAATAAGTATGTTTAATTTAATATGTCCCAGTATGAAATTTTTTTCTAAGTGTATTGAGTGACTGATTAATGTTTGAGAATATTTTCTCAAATATATTAGTGGTGAGTGGTAGATAAATACATAGATTCATTTGTAAAACTGTAGACCAAATTTGTCAAAGTTCTGCTGTGTCCTTAGTAGGACCCTAAATGACTGGGTTAGTTGTTTTTTTTTTTCAAGGAGCTTAATTTTATGCATTGCAAGGTCTGACTAAAGTCCCCTTCAATGGAAAAAATATATATTTGCTTCTATGTGCTTTGGATCGGGCCCACAGTTTTAACAATCTTGGCCATAAGGGTCCCTAAAGTCATGTTCCCTTGTGCTTGAAATTTCCCACTCCTGTATGGTGTTGCATTTGCCAGCCAGTGATACCTTTAAAAAACATTTTTTCTTGTTTTGCTTGTTTTTCTCTGGAACTTTGTCATTCTTTATTTAGTCTGTGCTTCCAGGGAATTTAGAAATTCTCTCTCAGCATTGTGTGTTGCAGTTTTTATTACTGGTTGGTTTTTAAAATACTTTTGTTTTGTTGTATATTGCTCTAATGTACTAGAGGGTAGAGTTTCATATATAGTTAAAACAAATTTTGTTAAGGAACAAAATAAACTCACAAAACTAATAACAACCACCCTAAATAAAATGTTGGCTCTAAGTTCTCAGCAATGAAAGAGTCAGTGTAGGTGAGGAAGTGTAAATTGTATTTCAGAATGAAGTAGATCCTTTTGTCTTACCTATATTATGTTTGAGTTTTGTCATAGATTAACAAATTTTCACCCTAACAGTAATAGCAGACCTTTTTACTAATGTGCTCAGTACATTTCAGATAGGTAATCATTTATGGCAGCATTAACAATCCAATTTGTGTGTGTATAAAAAAATAAAGTTAAACTCTGCTGCTATTATAGCATAGGAAAAAATAATGAATGTGGAACAATGATTCAGGGACTTGATTTCAGCCAGGTGATCCATTATTAGTTTAGCCATATGGTGAGGAAAAGTGCTGTATTTTTTAAATATTTTTTGTGTATGAATATATATTACTGTAGTATACACAATGTTTTTTATATTCAAACTTTACTACACTGAATTGTTAATGTATTATGATACCATTGTACATATGCTGTGTGATTAGTTAATGGCTAGTACAACACAAAAGAAAATGTAAATTGTCTGCTAACTACAACATCACCCTCTGTAAAACTTGAAAATAGTGCCCCTCATTACACTACAATTTTTATAAAACCATTATAACTCCTGTTTCCATATTATGATTTGTTCTGTTTTAGAAGTTCCAGCACTGAGATAATTCACACATTCGGGGGAACTAGAACTCTTGTTTTCATTCTTCCATTCAAATAAAATGAACTTTCCATATGTGAATTTTTCCATTCTGGATACTATAGGATTGATCCTACATGTACTTATACCTAACTTAACCTGAAGTCAAAGTTATGTATATGCATGTTTACAGGATTGAGCCATGTGCTAGTTATAGCTGGTTTAAGTCTTCATTGCTCTGTTTTAAATCAATGGACTTGTGTCAATTTATCAACTGAAAATTTGGCCCCAATGTGTCTTGTGTGGAAATCCCTGACCAATGCATGGATATTGACACAATGGACTGAATTGTCTCTACTTCTGATTTTCATTTTGTTAAATAATTGAACTTTTATAATTTTGGTCTTTTGAGTATTGAGGTGCATATTTCACAAATTCTTACTATTCAAAGTGCTGGAAGCACCAACACAAAATGCAATTTTCTAATATATTTATAGGTATTCTCTTGCCTTTTTAATTCTTTGTGTTGCTTAAAATGAAATAACATTATTTTTCATCATTTGAAATCCCTACTGCTTAAATTCACTGCTTGGAAATTTGTGACTAATGCGTTGATTCTCACTTAATAGACATATTCTTTCAATGGATTTTTTTTAAAAAGCAGAACGTATCAGCAGGAGCTCACACTGAAAAACTGATTCCATGACCTAATCCTCAAATTTTCATTTGTTATGCAGTTTGCACAAGTGCTTAAAACATTTTTGTTCTTGAGGCTAGAGTCTAAAAGTCTTGCGGTGCATCTCAAGAAGATAGACCAAATATAAAGGGTAAATAACACTTTGTACTCTCTAAGTACATTTATTGTTGTTTTTGAGTTAGTTGAAAGTCAAATCCCAAAATACTGATAGGTACACACACCAATAAATTATACACACTTATCATTGATACATGTCTTACAATATTATAGTAAATGTAAAGGTTTGTGAAAAAGTGAGTTTTTCAACCTATTGAAACGCCACTGATTTTTTTTAACTTATCCAGAAGCATTTCTACACTCCACATCACTAATGTATCTCAGCCATGTACACTATGTATACAATGACATGTAGTCCAGTGTATGTTTTGCCTGTATGACCTCTTAACCATGAAATCAATGCCGAAGATGCAGTCCAGAGTTTTTATAACTGTCAATAAATGTTTTAAATTTGTCGTCTGCTACCGTTGCTGTAGTGATGGGCTGCGTGAATGCTGTGTTCTTCGGGGTGTGGATTGCAATGTTTTGTTGTAGTTACTATATCCTTTGCCTTTTCTCTGATGAACAAAATCATTAGTCACATGGAAATCAAACTTTTGTCAACAAGTCTGAAGAAGTCCATTAGGACTCCATAAAGTGAATTCAACAGAAGAGAGGATCTGTCAGATTAGTTCCTCAAGGAAACCACTTACAATGGAGAAGGGAGTAGGGTGGATATAGAAGGCCACATTTAGTACAGAGTAGTGTGGGGTGAATGGTAAAAAACTTCCATATTTTCACAGGTAATAAATTAAGGAGCAAGGATAACAATTTCTAAATTTCATTAAGCTTGGAGCAAAGAATAACATTATTTAAGATTTTTCGTAACCATAGCAGATTAGTTTCTTTAGTGAAGCACACTTGGAATTTAGAGTTTTAGGGAGTGTAAAAGACTCTAGTGTTACTTTTATTCTTTTTTGAGACTCTCTGAATAGCTCAGTTAATATAACCCAGGCAGACTTATTTTGGGAACAAATTGTTCTCTGTGCTATAAATTTATTTATATGGGTTGTCTGACTTATATTACCAGTCCAAGACACAGACAAATATTTTCAGATAAATCGAGAGAAGTGAAGGTGTAAATCTGTTCTCTCCTTTCAACTGCTCAGTAAATCTGCTTGTCTCACTAGTAATCATTATAGCATGACAAGTATATTTCTAAGCTCCTGGTTACAGATTGTTGTATCTAGAACAGAGAGAGGGAGGTTTTATTTATATAAAAGAGAGAGATATCTATCTATCTATCTAATTGGAACATCCGAACAAAGATTTAACTTACATATTGCGTGATTCTTCCACACATTAGTCCCTTCCTATTTAGGAATAAGTCTTTTCACTCTATATTCCTTAGCTGTTCTGCAAGCACGTTCATGTTTGAATAGGACAGTATCCAGAGTATACTTTCTTCAGACAAGGCCTATATTACCTTCATAAAGGAGGTGCAATAGAGGGCCTGGGGAAGAGGGTTAAGAGAGGACTAGGGGTGGGGGGGAGGAGTGGTGAGAGAGGGTCAAGGCCTATATTACCTTCATAAAGGAGGTGCAATAGAGGGCCTGGGGAAGAGGGTTAAGAGAGGACTAGGGGTGGGGGGGGAACATCAGGACAGGGCTGGATTCAATCCCCAAGGCTCAGACCCACCCCCCAGCATTGGGGAGCCCATGCTGGTACTTCAGCCCCCCCTCGCTGTCCTTCTGGGGGCTGGAACACTCTCAGTCTATTGGGCTGGGCCCCCGGAAGGCTCTGGTATGTGAGGGGAATGTGGGGAGTCTTTCTCAGCTGCAGGGGCCACAGTGAGGGTTTTTTTTCCCCACTTCTCACTTGTGCCGCCCCTGACTGATTTTTCTGTGGATCAGTAGCCCCAACCCAAAAAAAGGTTCCCCCAGCCTGATTTAGAGCAATTATACTTAGACTTAGGCTCATGATCCCCAATTGGCTCTTTTTAATGCGTCTCCTGCAGGAAGTAGCATGGAGAGGGACACTGCTTCCCACGGCTCCCGTTGGCCGGGAATGATAATTCACGGCCAATGGGAGTACGAGTGGCTGACCATACCTGCAGATGTGCAGCTAAATAAAGTGTCTAGCAGCCCACCAGGGGTTAACCCTGGCGAACCAGTTCCAGTCCATAAGCCGCTTACTGCCTACCCAGACATAACCAGTTATTCCCCATTTTGTAGTTGTACGTTTTGATTTTTTTCTTGGGTAAGTGAAGTGTTTTGTACTTGTTTTTATTGAATTTCATCGTGCTGAATTTAAACCAGTTCTCCAATTTGTCGGTCATTTAGAATTTTAATCCTGTCCCTCAGAGTGATTGCAACCGCTCCCAGCTTGGTGTCATCTGCAAATTTTATCAACATATTCTCTACTCCATTATCTAGCTGGAATATATTCAGACTTTCAGAGTTTTACATGAATAGATGGGGTGTATGAGTTGGTGGGGTGACAGGTTGGAACAAGGATGTGAGAGGACCAAATCAACTGTTTTAAATTAGATTATATTAAATATATTTTTTCAACATGTCAACAGCATGATGGTTTACCTTTGGGAAGCCCCTTCCTCATCAAAGGAACCCAAATACTTGGTAGGTTATCAGAGCCAGAAGTGATCAGACCATTTTTTTGAATTTCAAGATTTCAAACTTAAAACAAAATTGGGAAAATGTTTGAATGCTTTCATAAACTTTTCACTCAACTATCGTCAGTGAAAATGAGCTCACTGCACAACAGAAGCTGCTCTGTTCCAGGAATTCTGTGCAGCTGTCCCTGGAAGGTGCAATGAAAAATACTTGATGCAATTGAAGATAGAGATGTAATCTAGGATGTGGCACAATGCGGTTACCTGGTGTTTCATTTAATTGTGACACATTTTCTGTAAGGGCTTACATGAATGTGAGAGTGATTTCTTTTAGCTCTTCTCGAAGGCTTACCTAAACTGCCAAAACAACTTTTCAAACACTGAACTACAGAGGAAGGAGTAATACTGGAATGTGCTCATTCTTAAAATGAGCCTCCAAATTATATTTATTTTGAGGAAGTACTGTGGAGCGCACCACTTATGCATGTTGCTCAGTATGGCCATGTTTACACCACAGAGAAGATTGAAGCTGTCAGAGTCGAACTTCTGGGGTTTGAATTAGCTAGTCTAGTGAAGACGTGCTAATTCAAACTGAGAGGTGCTCCCGTCAACGCTGGTAGTCCTGCTCCTATGAAGAGTAAGGAAATCAAAAGGAGAGTGTGCTCCCATTGACCTCCCGCTGTGTGGATGGTGCCAAAATTCAATTTAAGATACTTTGACTCCAGCTACATAATTAACATAGCTGGAGTTGTGTGTCTTAATTTGAATGTATGCCTAGTGTAGACCTAGCCTAAAGCTCCAGTTGAGGAAAGAACTTAGGTATATGCATCACTCCCACTGAAGTCAGTAGGTGTCAAAGATGGGTAAAATTTTCAGAAGTTTCATTTTCAGAAGTGACTTAGGCACTTACCTACTTACTGACCTACATAAGGAGACCTAGGCTCCTTATGCTTCAACTGATTTTTGAAAATGAGACTTAGGATTCCAAGTCACTTAGGCGCATTTTTTAAAAGAGCTGTCACACACAAAATTAAGCATGTGCTGTAAAAGTTTTGCTGATGAGAGCTAGGCAGGTGGGCCTGAGACCCCAAAGTCTTTCTCTAAATGGCAGGAATGGCAAAGAAAGACAAAATTATCTATATTTATTGTGCTTTCTTAAGAAGCTCAATACACAGCTGTGTGTTTCAAGATAGACTATAAAAATGTGAGAAGTGCTGTGTACTTGGTCTCAAAGGAGTAAAAATAACAATATAGAAAGTTTATACTTCATTCTTTTAATTATTAAAGTGTTGCTGTTTTATTATAGATTTAAGCATTTCCATTAAAATACCCTTTCCTTTGTCTAATATCTGACCCTTTATCTCTTGTAGATGAAGAATTGTAGGCCAGTTGCCAGAGAGAATGCATTTTTATTTGTTTACAAAAAGTGTTTCTATAAATAGTCCTCAGCCGGTTTACTTTGAGATTAGTTTTATCTTCTTTGCTGACCTTCATTCCTG